GGCCAAAACCCTCGGATAGATTTAATAAAACTTTATAAATCAATAAAAAAGTAGTGCTGTGATCTAAAAAGATCGATACACAAAATTGTAATAGAAAAGGTATAAGAATTGGCTTATTTCTAGAGATGAGGAGGCTGATCAAACTAACCTTCTCCTTTATACTTTCTCCAGTAGCTGAGGCAGCCACAAGACCGACGGTCTCTTTAGAATCACCGAAATGTTGGTCTATTTCTGAGAAAAATTTATCAGTAGCGTTTATCGATGATATTGTCTTGCCAGCGATGGTGGGCCTGCTCATAGATTGGTTTTCTCCAACTAATGCTTCTGAATCTACTGGCTGCTCAAAGTAAGACTTTGTAGGAAGCCGGTCCTTCTCTTGATCACGCTCCTTAGCACGCTCACGGTCGCGGTCCCGCTCACGATCTCGTTCACGTTCGCGGTCAAGCTCCCTATCACGGTCTCTTCCACGATCCCGATCACGGTCGCGATCCCGTTCACGATCTCGCTCTCTGTCTCTTTCACGCTCCTTATCTCGATCTCGGTCCCGGTCTCGGTCGCGCAGCTCCGTATGCATGTTGGCATCTGATATACGAGTGCTAGAATCGCCTGGCGGCATCCCATGTGGAATATAGTTAGAGCCGACCCCTTCATAAATGTCTATATCAGCACCTAGAAAGTCGCAATGACATAAACACAAATTGACAAATAAATTAACATTAAGATAGTGGTAAACCATAGCCCTCCCCCTAAGCAAACTTTAGAAGGGCTAAGGCGGATTAAGCAAGAAAGCTGGCATATAAAGATGAGAAGATGGAAGAAATTACTGAGTATAAAGTAATAAGAATCGAGATAGCCAATTAATCTCTAAATATAGCTAAATATGAACACAATTTAGGGCGTTATGTGAGCTAATTTCATATAAACTATCCAATGTCAAGCATCTTTGCGAATACATTCGAGCTGATGAGAGCCAGGCGGAGTGAATGATGCAGCTCCTCCTGGATGCTAAAGCATTTTCGGAGGCAAAGATGAGTGAAATTCAGCGGTATTGTGAGGTCTTCCATCCAGTTCGTTATGGGAAATTCAATTATCAATCCTAAAATGACTGCAAATGATCAATGGTGACTCGAGTTCCCAGTTGAGATATATTGACACTTTTGAAACCTACTTAGTTTGCCTACCTAAATATTTATATTTCAGCACTATAACTTTTTTCATAAGCGCACACAATTCGAGACACCAAATACGGATTAGGATGATTTAAAAAGTAACCTGGTATTTAGTTAGATAAATATTTTTAAAAGGAATTGCTCCAGTAAAGCTGAATATCATGTGGCTGCCTTAAAAGTATTATGGTTTAATGCTTCAGTTGCTACAAGCTGTCTTGCATTTAAAACAGTCAATATTGATAGCTTGTCGTACAGCCAGTTTATCAATATTTTAATAGTAAAGGATCTTAGATGTTCATTATGTATATAATAATCTCTTCCTACCAGATGAAAAGCCAGTTTAAATGCAAACACTCCATGAAAACTTCCCCAAAACTCGTAGTAGAATCCGGCACTAGCATTTAAGTCGCAAGAAATGATAAGTCACTGGCACTAACAGATCTCAAATACTTGTTTCAAGTAGCCAATTAATGAATTATGTGCCTGTATGTATATTATGAAGTCTCATAATTTTGAATGCTCAATAACTCAGTAAAAATTTATTCCTACATTATATAGAAAAACCGGCCTTCGAAGGATCCCTTAATCGATTTAGGTTGAAGTAACTTTGATTTTATTTGAAAAGGCGAGTGCAAGGGATTCGTAAGTTGAATAAAGC